CTTTTTTTTTTTTTTTAAAGAAAGCAAACAACCTAACTTAATTTTTGTTTTTCTGGTACTGAGTATTGAACTCAGAGGCACTCTATCACTGAGCTTATCCAAGGTTCTTTTTAAATTTTGAGAAAGGTCTTCACTAAATTGCCAGTCCAGCCTCTAATTTGATATCCACCTACCTCAGCGCCCCAATGTAGTTGGGATTACAGGAGTGAGTCACCAAGCAGGGCTTAATTTACTTTTTTTATGTGGGGGGGACCAGGGATTGAACTTAGGGGCACTCAACCACTGAGCCACATCCCCAGCCCAATTTTTGTATTTTATTAGAGACAGGGTCTTACCAAGTTACTTAGCTTCTCACCATTGCTGAGGCTGGCTTTGAATTCACCATCCTCCTGTCTCAGCCTCCAGAACTGCTGGGATTTACAGGTATGTGCCACAGTGACTGGCCAGGTCTTACCTTACTTTTTAAAATTAAAGATGATAAATAAGTCAGGGATAGAGGTTCACACCTGCAATCCCAGTGACAAAGGAGGCTGGGCAGGAGGATTACAAGTTAAGGTCAGTTTTGGAAATTTAACAAGAACATATTTCAAAATAAAAAGGGGGTGTGCCCATGAGTTGAATCGAAGTGCCATAAAAAGAAAAAAAAAGATGACATACAGATGGTAAATAAATACAGAAGATGCTCAACACCATGAGTGTTGAATTAAAACCATATATTGTCAATACCCATAAGAATGACTAAAATTAAAAAGAGTGACCAAGTGTTGGCAAGGATGCACAGGAACTAGAAATTTCATACACTTCTGGATGGGAATGTGAATAAATAGAGGCCAATTGGAAAACAATTTGGAAGTGAAACATAACATCTACAATATCATCTGTCAATTCTATTCCTAGATACTTGTCAGATAGAAGTGAAAAGTATACATCAACACAAAAGCCTATCCACAAAAATTCATACCATTCATAGCAACACATGAGTAAACTGTGATATATGCACACCAGAGAATAAAACTAGGCAACAAAAAGAAGTATATTATCATACTATAACATGATAACTCTCAAAATAATTCTGTTAAATGAAATAATCCATACGTACATACTGATTTATTCTATTTCTACAGTAGGTCATGGAGAGGGAGCTATACAGATTTTTCCCCCTTATTTTGGTGATAATTTCACAGGGATATACCAATGTTGAAACTAACCAAATTGTACACTTTATATATGTGTAATTTATTATGTCCATCTCATTCCACCATCTTTCCTGCCCCCATACCCCTCTCCCCACCCCTCTCTCCTCTTTACCCAGACCCAGCCCTTTTTATTTTGAGAGTGGGTCTCACTAAATTGATGAGGCTTGCTTTGAACTTTAATCTTTCATGCCTCAGCCTCCCAAATTTCTGGGATTATAGGTAGGCTCAAGAAAGCCTGGTTTTATTTCAGAGTACTTTAAAAATGATAATCAACAAATCTTTTCTCCAACTGAAACCTTTTTCTACTTGGCACAACTAAGATTCTGGCAATGCTCATATGCTTACATGGCAGCCAACAGCCAGGGGCACCAACAATTTAGAAAAATCCAGACTATCTATCTATCTATCTATCTATTTATTTATTTATTTATTTATTTTTTAAGACAGATTCTCATGAAGTTGCTTAGGACCTCATTAAGTTGCTGAGGCTGTCTTTGAACTTGTGATTCTCCTGCCTCAGCCTCCAAAGCTCCTTGGATTACAGGCATGTACCATTGTACCTGGCAATATAATAGACTATTAATGGTGCTCAAGAAAACACTTGAAAAAATAACATCAAATGGGATATCCCTTAATACTTACCCGAATCAGTTTTTGTCTTTCTTCTAGAAAGAAGAGATATTTAGGGGCTACTTTAAGGTGTCTAGTTAAATTTTCCTGCAGAGTACTGATGCAATTTGGAAGAAAGCCACCTGTTTCCATGGAAAACTGAAGGACATCTGCTACCTGCAGTGTTAAAAAAGACAAATTAACCAGTTAAGTGTATACAGAAAACTATCTCAAAATTATATTAAAAACTATTTTAGCCAGTAGTGGTGAGTCATGCCTATAATCCCAGAGGCTCAGTAGGCTGAGGCAGGAGGATCTCAAGTTCAAAGCAAGGTTCAGAAATTTAGTGAGGCCCTAAGCAATTTAGTGAGACTCTGTCTCAAACTAAAAAAATAAGGGCTGGGGTTGTGGCTCAGTGGTAGAACGCTTGCCTAGCATGTGTGAGGCACTGGGTTCAATTCTCAGCACCATATATAAATAAATAAAATAGAGGTCCATTGACAATTTAAAAAAACTTAAATAAAATAAATAAAAATAAAAAGAGCTGGAGATATGGCTCAGTAGTTGAATATACCTTGAATAGCCCTGGGTTCAATTCCTGGTACAAAAAAAAAAAATCTATTTTAAGTTTTTAGTTTAGCTCTCTTAAAAACTATTTTAAACTGGGTGTGGTGGTATACACCTGTAATCCCAACAGCTCAGGAGGTTGAGGCAGGAGGATTGGGAGTTCAAAGCCAGTCTCAGCAACTTAGCAAGACCCTGTCCTAATAAAATATAAAAAAAGATTGGAGATGTGGCTCAGTGTTTAAGTATCCCTGAGTTCAATCCCCAGTACCAAAACCAACAACAAGAAACTATTTTAAGGGAAATACTTTATTTTTTTTTAAAGAGAAAGAGAGAGAGAGAGAGAATTTTTAATATTTATTTTAGTTTTTCCGGCGGACACAACATCTTTGTTTTGTATGTGGTGATGGGGATCGAACCCGGGCCGCACTCATGCCAAGTGAGCACGCTACCACTTGAGCCACATCCCCAGCCCGTTAAGAGAAATACTTTAAATACCATTTTCCCCAAGGATCCACGTTAGGCCACACCACCAGGAAATTTAAAGTTGTTTATTATTTTGAAATAATTTTTAAAAGTAGAAACTACTGACTTTTTTTCTGTTATTGTTTTTCTCTCTCTCCCTCTCTTTCTCTCAGGGCCTTGCTAAATTGCTGAGGCTGGGTTTGGACTTGTGAATCTCCTGCCTCAGCCTCCTGTGCCCCTGGGATTATAGCATGCATGACTATACCCAGTTCAAGCCCTTAAAGGTTTTTAAAAATTTTTTATTTTTTATTTTTAGATATGCATGACAGTAGAGTATATTTTGGCATATTAAATATACATGGAGGGGTTGGGGTTGTGGCTCAGCTGTAGAGTGCTCGCCTTGCATGTGCGAGACCCTGGGTTCAATTCTCAGCACCACATACAAAAATAAACAAGTGAAATAAAGGTGTTGTGTCCAACTACAACTAAAAATAAATAAATAAATATTTTAAAAAAGAGTATGACATCACTCAAAAAAAAAAAACAT